AAACACAGCCTTATATGGATTTTTTGGGGTGGTAATTATGCTAATCTCCTCTCCTCGTGCACGAACAGCTGGATAGAATGGAATTTACGCAGCTCATTTACACACTTTTCCTGAAGATAGAAGAGTTTGTTGAATCTGACGTGACATGTTCGTACGAACCCTTTGTACGAACAAAAGTAAGAGAAATTTAGGAGAAGAATACGAACATGTTCTTGCATGAGGCCCAATGTCTCTAAAGTTTTCACCAGTTGGCCCAAGTTAGTGTGCCTGGGCCCTGCCACTATATACATTATATTATCACTTCCTGATGTGTTAATCTCCCTTTTGTTGAGCTCTGCACACATAAACATCTGGTTCATGTTGATACACAAACAGTTACGGCCGTGCTCTGTACACTGAGAAACACAGGCAGTGTCTGATCCACTTCTATACATCTGAGTCAGACCAAAGCATTGCAGCTCCACTTTATATAAACCCAAACTGAATGATTTACATGTGAATCAAAGGATTTAAAAGGATATGTGCCCATTAAAATAACTCATGAACCACTGAACAAATCTGAATAAAACTCAAGTTATTATTACTGGGTTAATATTTACAACTGATAACTTTTCAAATTCAGACGACTGAAGACGGCTGCTTCAGTAAAGTGTACCTTTATTTTACTGAAACTAATCGATAACGTAGTGTCGCTGAGTTATCACTACTTCTTCTCTGAGAGAAGCTGATAAAACTCAGAGAATCAATCTGTGACACAACATGTCTCTGACTCAGTCAAATCTACACACACTGACCTAAAACTCCTAAATTAGTCTATTAGAGCATTTAATAAATAAATAAATAAATAAATAAATAAATAAATAAATAAATAAATAAATAATTTAAAAAACATGGTCCAAACCAATCAGATCCAATCAGTTATTTATATCCAATGACACAATGACAATTCAATCATATTTAGAAGAATATAAAATGTAAAACATCTGATTCTGAGACAAAACCGGGAGGATAAGTTTAAAAACCTGTAAATAAATAAAAAACACTTTAAGTTTAATTCAGTGTTTATAACTCAGTGACAGTAGTTTTCACTGCATCTAGGTTCTGAAACGATTCTCAACACCAATGCAATGCTACTGTACCGGTTTGTGTTAATAATAAGAAGTAAACGCTGAGAAAAGAAGTCTTACCACTGCACCGCAGCCATTTTTACATCACATGACACATCTCTGGACTTCCGGGTTACAACAACTCGCTGCTTCGCCTTTAAGCGGACAGCTGATAAAAATATACACCGCTGAGAGGCCAGTGGTATTATAAAACATAGTAACGTGTCATACTGCTAATTATGACAGTGAATACAATTAAGGTGTTTTAAAAATCACCTTAATTTGCACAATTTTACTTTATTTCCCATCATGCACCGCGCACCTTTATTTCTATCACGAAGAGGTAAAAAGAGAACAGAGGGTTCACTATGAGCTATATTTTAAGAAACAAATTTTTACAAGAATAATTTACGAGTTTAACGAATTTGTTCTGATAGTTTTAAAATGGTCTCTGACTGCTACTGTTACATTTCACCACATATTAAATGTTTTTGTACGTTACTAAAATAGAAAGTGTCAGACTTTTACCAGTGAAGAGTGACTCATCTGTTAGTTTTACGATCTTTGTCAGAGTCGCAGCTCCGCTCCTTCAGGAGTCCGTTAAGACAAACCTTGACCGTCCCGGTTCAGAAGGACCATGACCTGACCGCAGACCATCAGGGGGGTCTACCCAGTTCTCCAGACCAGGTACAGTCAGATCCGGTCAGGTTCGGTTCTGAGGGGCATTTCCGTGCTGTGAAAACGAGCTGCTGGGTTTGAATGTAGCAAACATTTAGCTGCTGGAAGAATCAGCTAACAAGATGAGTTATTAGTTTTTACTTTACTTTAACCTGGTCTTTATGGCCTGGTTTGGTTTTATTGATCCGTCCAGAACAAGAGTTTCTTGACATATACAGATATGGATAGATTTGTTTCCAACTTTTTTCTCAAGTTCATCATGGATATTTAGCTAACACAGCCAACAAACAGGTTCTGTAATCACGTGACGTCATCATGTGGGGACAAAAGTGAGGATTGAACAAAGTTATAGTTTTTCTAAGTATTTTTTTGTCATGGCTTCTTGTCTGTGTCAGTAGCAGCTGGCTGTGACAGCTGTGTTTATTTATTTTACAGGACACATCAGAGGCAGCTCAGTGTTTTAGGTACATTTGAACATGTGACTGAATAGCTGGGAATCGAACTGCCAACTCTGTGGTTAGAGGACGACTCCCATATCCACTCAGCCACAGCCACCCCTTACATCAACTGTCCTTACATGTCCAGTACAGATGTCAGTAATTTGTAGTACTTCTTTATTCATTGAATTTGTAACAGATTATCAAAGTACAGAAAAACATAAAATCAAAATAAAATCAAACAAAATGAAAGGCAGCAGAAGAAGAATAAATCTTATAATATCTGCCCCTTTTTATACCCAAAATATGTTCAAAAGAAAAGTTAAAATACAACAAAAAACTTAAAACATTTAAAATGAAATAAAAATAAAGACATCCATTCAAACAACAATTTGCATGAATTCACTAATAATTATCCGTATTTCTTCAGAATACTATTTTTTAATCATTCTCTTCAATATATACAAATATATGGCATTTTTAACCTCATCTTCTAAGCTGCTCCATAATCTTATTCCCTGGATTAAAGTTGATCTCTCCTTCAGGCTTGTATGAACCCAGGGTTTCTGAAACATTTCTATTCCCTTAAGATAATAACAGCTCTCTCTTTTAACAAAATTTACTTGAATGTTGGAAGGTAACACACCTTTATCTCTCTCTGTACATTAACAGTAAAATATTATAATCGACCAAATCATAGAATTTTAATAATTTCAAATCATAAAACAATATATTCGATGGATGGCTGAAATTTTTTCTAGTAATAATTCTTATAGCTGTTTTCTGTAAAATAAAAATAGGATTTGTGATAGTTTTACAAGCTTTGCCCCAGACTTCAATACAGTAAATTAAATGTGGAACAATTATAGCGTTATACAACATAAACAGTGCTTTATCATTGAACAGTTCTCTTACTTTATACAGGACTCTAATAGATTTGGCCATTTTTGTTCTTAAACCATTTATATGATTTTTCCTTGTCAGTTTTTCATCAATAATGACACCTAGAGACTTTACTTCACTGACTCTACAGATCTCTACATCATCAATTTTAAATAAAACATCTATAGTTCTCTTGTTTTTACAGAAAATCATATAATTTGTCTTATCCAAGTTTAATGATAATTTATTAAGTTGAAACCAACTTTTTATTTTCATAAATTCTGTCTGTACCATCTCCAACATTAATTCAGTATCATTACCGGAACAAAAATAATGTTGTATCATCAGCAAATAGAACACACCCAAAAAGATCTGATACATTTACCAAATCATTCACATACAAAATAAATAACTTAGGTCCGAGAATGGAACCCTGTGGCACTCCACATGAGATTTTACAAAACTCAGATCTTACATTATGTATTTCTACAAATTTTCTATTTTCCAAATACATGGATTTACAATTTACATGGATTTCCCTTGTTTTGCAGATGTATATAGATGTATAGGGCAATCTGATGGATTTTTTCAACTTTCCATCCATCCATCCATCCATCCATCCATCCATCCATCCATCCATCCATTAACTTTACACCTTGAAATTAGCCTCTGTCTCTTCAACAACTTCCTACCGTTTCCAACACTCCCACTTCAGCACATCATCACAACAATGCTTCAGGGGAGGGGGGGCTCTGTGGGGCAGGAGTGCAGCTGCAGAATGAGCTCCAGGGAGGAGCTTTGTGTAAATAGGCGGAGCTTTGTAGCAGTAAGCGTTTAGGTAGCTCCACAGGAGAGTCGAGGGTTTCCCAACATGAATGAGACAAACCATATGTTCTGGATGAAGGAATGATGTTCTGATACGATTTAAAGCTCAAAGCTGATTTTGCATAATCCCCCCCCCCCCCCCTTTAAAGTGGGAAATGTCTCAGCCTCAGAATGGCTGCTGGCAGATCTGCCCCCCTGGTTCACTTTATTAAAAGGGACCTATGCAAAATTCACTTTTTTACGTTTTTTAACATGGGTCTGTACTGCTCCCAGAAACAGTCCAAGCACCAAAACAAGACTCCCAGTTTCTCTGTGACAATATATAAATGGGTTTTTAGTGTCACCAAATAATGGTTTTCATGAACCTGGGGATTGTTACGTCACAATCCAGGTGATCTAGCAACGCCAAGGTGAGCCCAGTCTCACCTGGTAACCCAACAGGAGACTCCGCCCACTTCTTCACAGGATGGACGTTAGTTCTGCTATTTTTACAACAGTCATGGAGAACATAGACGCATCGCTTGATTTTATTTTTGATGGCAGTGTTCTAGCAATATTAACAAAGAAAGTTGTATTTTGTGTAAGTATTTTCAACATGGAGTACTGTAACTACTACCAGCAGGGTTTACCCAAGGACTTTCAGCTGAAAGGATAGGAAGGAAAGGTTCACGACTAGCAGCACGGACACTCCTGCACCACAGCACTGGTGGCACAGAAGTCTCCAGACTTCAGTCATGGACCTTGACCCCCCTCGGTTCGTCTCAGGAATTGATGGAGGACACGTGTTGGCCTCCCCGGCACCAAGGCGCATGACCTCGGTCAGATCCTCCGGTCTGTCCCTACCGAGCCCTGGGGGTGGCCACACTGTGGGCAGCCTGTCTACTACTGTCGTAACATTGTGCATCTGCTTATACCAGTCATTATTTTTACGCTTCTGAAGATCTTAAAAAAACACCATGTTGGGAGGGCGGAGCTAACGTAAACAAAAGGATGGGAGGGGTGTCAAAAATGGCTAAAAATAATTTAAAAAGTAGGGCTGCAACAACAAATTGACAAAATCGATAAAAATCGATTATTAAAAGCGTTGGCAACGAATTTCATTATCGATTAGTTGTGTTACGATTTATGCGTCCCTCGCCGTGTCGTGGAGCCGATTACGTCACCCACAGAGCGTTGTCAATGCTGGCTGACCTAAATAAAGTTTAGGAAGAAAGAAAAAACTCCACCTGTAGAGATCCGCCCTCTCTGACTCTCGAGTGAAAAGTAGAGACTACGAACTTTACGCCAGTTTTTAAATTGTTGTATTTTATTATTTTAATCTATTTTCCTCATTCAGCAACCTATTAAATTTCTGTTATGTTTCATGAGAAATACACATTTCTTTTCAGTCGCTGGCAAAATAAATGGTTAAAATAGTTATGATGAGCTTCTGTTTTTTAATTCAGGAGATTATAAAAAAATCCTTCATGTTATGAAAAGACCCTCTTGATTCAAGAGAAAACTCTGGTTTTTAAGAAAACGGCTGCTTATCAATTAACTGTTAGTCAATCTATAAGAAAAATCAACTTCAGATTAATTCATTAATCAATAACTTGCATCCTTAATTTATACAGGAATGAAATTAACTTATATCTACTCATATTCATGTAACTAATGATTTGGCCAATTAATAGATTAACTGAAAAAATAATCGACACATAAATTGATTATTAAAATAATCGTTAGTTGCAGCCCTAAAAACGGTGAAAGTTTCGATGCGTAAGGATCATGTTCGTGTTGTAACAGGAATGATTAGAGATTCAGCTGAAAGTGGAGTACGATGCTTGGCTCTGGTCTTGTGTCGGTCCTTGTTAATGATAAGATTAGAGAAATCTTACCAGTGTAACCAACACCAGGTTTAATCAATGGTGCTGGAGGATCAGGTGGCAGTTTATTCCCTCCCTCTTCATTTCTTGAAACTTTTCGGCTCTGAATTATTAAGAGGAGAACTGCTGAGTCCAGCTCAGCACTTGATATCTGGTCCTCATTAGTTCTGATGGACAGATGTTGCCACAGCTCGGTGCTTTCTCGTTCTGCCTCCTGCCAGCGCTCCTGTTCTCCTGCAGGAGCAGACCAGGGAGGACTGGCTTCTGGTCATGCTGGGCTATGAGGAGCTGCTGTTTTACACAGCCTGTCTGTCTAACTGTTGGTGTGTGTGTCTGTGTGTGTGTGTGTGTCTGGAAGGCCGAGCGTTTCGAAGGGGAGCTGGAGGTGTGCGTATGGGCAGCAGCTGGAGGTGGCAGCTGTCCCGGTCCACGCGACTGGTGTTGCGCTGGTGCCGGCAGCAGAAAGGAGGTGGAGGTGAGGGCGGCAGGCTGTGGGAGCTGTGGAGCTACAGCAAACTGCTGCTGCGCTCTCTGTGTTACAACAGCCTGGCTGACTCGGACACTCTGCTGGACTGTGTGTTTGAGCCGGTCATCTGGACTGTGGACAGCATCACCCGCTGGTTTGGAGTGGTGAGAACTCTTTAATTTGTTTCTTCTCCCTGGACGTTAACCCTTCTGTAACGTGAGTTTCTTTTTGTCTGAACCTCCCAGGTGTTTGTCTGCCTTGTCGTCCTGCTGACGTCCTCTGTTGTGATCATTGTGTACCTGTTTGTCATACCTACAATTATCAGCACCTACCCTGTGCTGCTGGCTGTTTATCACCTCAGCTGTGGCCACTGGATCCTCCTGATGATAAGCTTCCATTACTACAAGGCCATCACCACCTCTCCTGGACATCCTCCTAAGGTACTGCTGTGATGCTGCACATGTCTGCTTAAATAGTCTTTATACAAGCCCCAGTTCCAAGTATTGGGATGTTTTTTAAAATGTTAATAATAAATAATTAAATAATTCAGTGATTTGCTTATTTCATAAAAAAGTTTTTGATTTAAAATGGAATAGGACTCATGATATTCTCAACAATTATTATTGTAATATTCATAATACTGTAACAGAGACTGGTCTAGATGCTAGTGAAGACTCTAAAAAAGGGAGGAGTGAAGATAATGTGGATTTATTAGAACTGTTGCAATATTAAACAATATCATTTCATATAAGATAAGATAAGATAAGATAAGATAAGATAAGATAAGATAAGATAAGATAAGATAGAACTTAAGTGATCCCACAGTGGGGAAATTTGAACATTACAGCAGCTCAAAACAGTGGAGTTACAGTCACAGGCAGCCTGCCGTGGCACCAACTTAGAAACAAAGAAAAATGGAAAAACACACGGGAAGATGAGTAAAAAAGCAAAAACATCATATTATATCAACACTGTGACACACTATGGTGTTTATGAAAAAACCTCTGCATAGAGCAACTTTATTAGCCAGAGGAGTAAATGAGTTTAAGGAGGCCTGAAGAATCCAGTCCCCCCAAGACCAACGCAGCTATAGTTCAGAAATATTGATGGAAACTATTCATTTGTGTGCAGCTTTCAGCTTCTCTGGAAACAGATTAGATGGGCGAGAGGAGGGGGGGGAGGGAGGGGGCAGAGTCTTTTTCGACACTTCCAGCCAGGAAGAATTTAGTCAACAGATCCAAGGCCGTTGTCGGGGAGATCCAGATTCTGTAATCAGTTGTTTTGGAACAGAAAAGACAAGTAGACAACACAATTTTCCATCTGCTTTAGAGTTTCTGCTGGTGCATCTCAAGGTGGTGAATCCAATCAGACAAATAGTGTGGACAAATTCCGCCGAGCCGATCCATCAGCTTCCTCGCAGGTCAATTCCATCTGGCCAGCAAAGTCCAGGGACCACAGCCGGCCCGCGACCCTCAATAGAACCGCTTGCAGACCGAGTCCAGCTCGCTCAAGGCAAATGTCCGAGTGCTGATAGAATACAGCCGTCCATCAAATTGGTCAGTCAGCCAGGAAATGAAAAGCCACCGACGTTGATTTGCAGACCACCAGGAGACCACCCAGCCAGTCTGTAGAATCCAGTGATCGAAGTCCAGATGTAAATCCAGAACAGAGAAGAACAGAGGACCCATCTTTGACATGTCCTCCCATGGAAGAAGAAAAACCTTTGTTCCAAGAATTTTATTGAGAGACCAGCTAACTAAATCAAGAAAAATAAGAATATCCATGATTTCTTATTTCGGATGAAAAATGAAGAGAAGGCTCCAGCAGCAAAGCAGGGAACGATAAGGAAGGGCAGGAGAGAAGGAAAAAGCATCTTACTCCTCCGAGAGTGGAAACAAACAAACAAAACAAAAAAATGACATTTTCTAATGATGAACACAGTAAACCTCAAATCAAATGAATGGATAAGTCACATTTAAAAACAACTCATCGCTCCAAGAGCTGCACACAGAAGCAACAAGTATCAAACGTTAAAACTATCTTTTGACCATATTTAGGCAAAAAACTATTCTTAAAATTTGAAGTGAAGCAACTAATATGGAGAGAATCCCATGGCATGAAGGGAGTGTGCACAGCAAGATGTGAGTGAACACAACACACACGTTTCTGACAGATTCTAAAGCCTACAGTATATTAAAACACATCTAGAAATGTTACACTTTCTGGACTGTCTGGCTAAAATAAACAACCTAAAATGAGTAGATTTGAAATTTATCAGAAGAAATATCACCAAAAACATAAGTTTTCCTTGTAGTTTTCCTCAAAAAGAATAATCTGTCCATTTAGAGAAATTAATTTCAGCTGTACAGTCCACAAAATTAACCTTTTCTTCTCGTGGAAAAACTACCAGAAACATATAATTTTGAGTATTTACTTCAAATGTACAGTCCAAGAAATTCAGGAAATTATAAGGCTTATTGTGGTTGGACTATTAAGTTATTTAGTCTTAAGTTATTGAAAAAGTATCCAGATAAATTGCACCTCCTAGATAGAGTAAATGTAACTGTGGTAGGGTTTATAAGTTTATATACAGGGGCGGCTGTGGCGGAGTGGTTAGGGGAGTCGTCCTGGAACCAGAAGGTCACTGGTTCGATCCCCCGTCCAGCCGTCTCAGTCGTTGTGTCCTTGGGCAAGACACTTCACCCACCTTGCCTACTGATGGTGGTCAGAGGGTCCGGTGGCGCCGATGCATGGCAGCCCCACCTCTGTCAGTGTGCCCCAGGGCAGCTGTGGCTACAGTGTAGTTTGCCATCATCAGTGTGTGAATGTGAGTGTGAATGGGTGAATGTCTGTTAGTGTAAAGAGCTTTGGGGGTCCGGAGGGACTTGAAAAGCGCTCTATAAGTTCAGTACCATTTACCATATACCATTAGCTTTAGTGTTAGCCCTGACACTATCACCATATATAAATGTATTTGTAGATCAGGTTCTAGTGACACTAAAGCTGCCTCATCTGACAGAATCAGACACAGTAGCAGGAAGTTTGGCATGAATTTTATTCCTTATTAAAATTATTTTATCTATAAAGAATCTCATGAAGTCATCACTAAAAGTTACAGGGATACATGGCTCAACAGAGACAGGACTTTTCATTAGTCTAGCTACAGTACTGAACAGAAACCTGGGATTGTTTTATTGTCTTCTATTAAAGATGAATAATATACAGTTCTAGCTTTTCTTATATGTTAGCAGGCTGTGTCTCCAGGTTAAATAAGATTCTTCTGTGTTAGTGGAGTGTCTTTTTTTCAGTTTTTTATGTACACAACACTGAATTAAACCAATTAAATGAAGGAGTCGGCTTCCTCCGATTGATTATTTTCTTTTTCAGAGGATCAATTTTATCAAGAGAGGTTGGTATTAAAGTTCTAATACTTTCAACAAGACCATCTAAGTTACTGTTCTCTGTTACATTATTCTGTAAGACTTTAACTTTAAGGTAAACTACTTGTACTTTTGCACAAGTATACTTTGAGGTACTTTATACAACACAGCCATTTTGAATAAATTGGATTTATGAGATTAGCAAATCATTGCATTTTGTTTTTATTTATATTTTACTCAACATCACAATTTCTTTGGTATTGTGTTTGTATCTTATGAATATGTTAAGTCTACATTTAAGTTGTTTTGATAAAACCATAATGCAGTTGTCTTCTTGTCAATTTATTTCAGGACAAACTTAATACTCCCTCTGTTTCCATCTGTAAGAAATGTGTCACACCAAAACCACCAAGGACCCACCACTGTAGCATCTGCAACATGTAAGTTTGTCTGATAAACCAGTTGTAATCAGATGGCAAGTTAAAGTGACAGTTCACATCTTTTGAAGTGTTGTTTTGTGAAAATGTTATCTATTAAAAAATTATTTACTTGTTTTAGATAGATATTTAATAACTCACTTTTGAGAAATAGAGCTTATTTTTGACTAGACTGATGAGCAACAGGCTAGTCTGAACAAAAACAACATGGATTTCTGTTGTGTTAAGACAGTTTCCAAAAATTCATAATGATTCATGAGAACGCTATTTAAAAAAAACTTTTCTGCCAGAAAATCTCATAATGCAAAAGTAATAAAGAGTTTTCACATAAACCACTATACATTTTTCAAAAGTGACACTGTCTTAACACAGCAGGAATCCACTTTGGTCCCAGCTCCTCACGGACTAGTCTTACGCTCATTAATCCGGTTATGATTTAACTTTCTGGGACACCTTTACTAGAGATGGACAAAAAACCTGCAAAAATATGTAATGCAAACCACTCTTGAAATATATCGAAATTGTTTGAATTCTTTGAATATTTGCATCCTGATCTACACTTCTCCCCTGTGGCCTGTACCCAAACCACGCCCACATGTCAATCTGACCAATCAGGTTTTACACAAACCACGCCCACATGTCAATCTGACCACTCAGGGTTTACAGAAACCACGTCTATGAAACTCCCACTTATTGACTGCACCTCAATGAGAGTAATGGTGCGTTCACACCGAACGCGATTTCAGCTTCAAAATCGCAGCCAACGCTGAAGTTTGAAGCTTGTGCACTTTGAGGTCAGACGCAGGACAGTTGTTG